AAAATGATAAGTTATTATTACACACCCTTTATTTCAGATATTAAATGTCAATTGTGTCATTATATTAAGGTTTGGACATTTCTTTGCTGTTGAATTTATAATGTTGTCATTTAGAGTTGTTCTGTTTTTCAGAAAATGACAACTGAAAAATAATATTGTCTACAAATGTTTAAAGGATTATTTCCACAAATATTGATTTGCCATCTTTAAAACGAGTTATTTAATGCACAAATGCGTTATATGACCATCTGTTTTTGTTTAAAATGTAGAATTAATGTCATCAGTTGTGTACAAAGTAAAACAAAAATATAGACTGTGCTTTAATTAAACGCTTTCTATAAAAACATATTCTACGTTTTTCAAGCTGTTTTTGTCCTGTAGCTGTGTATGTACAGCAGTTTAATCATTAGCCTACATTTTTCCGAAAAGTATGATTGCATACTGTACCTGACACATAATGTCCTTTACCAAATCACCGCACTTTGCATAAGCTTCTTCACCAATCAGGTCCATTATATCCCAGTATCTCATCGCAATATTGCTGTCCGTTTTCTGGTCGCAACAACCAAATTTCTCATAGTGCCTGCAAAACTCGAGGTGTGAAGTTGGTTTGAAAGGTGGCTGGAAGTCCAGACATTGGGGATGCGCTAAAACACGTCTCAAATAAGAAAAGTAAATGGTTATAATGAGTCCTTGGAGCCATTTGGTCTTTTTGGTCAGGAAACTTCCCTCAGGCCAGTTTGAACGGAGATGATTTAGTGAGTCCGGCTCTCTCGGCATTTTTGACGTGTGCTCTGGAGTAAAGGAGTGTGTTTGCTCTTCAGCGTATGTGTGTGTGGGTCTATGTGTACAGTATGACTGCTTCAGCGTGCGCGCGTGTGTGTGTGTATGTGTGTGTGTGCGTGCGCGAGCTTGTCCAACGCTTTGGAGCGCGTGTGCAATATAATTGCTGGATTTTCGGATGCACATTTTCACGCAAATCAACGTAAACAATAAATAAAGAAAAACCAATAAAATTATATTAGTAACAATTAGATAAGTTAGGCTACTTCATTTTGGAAATGTGAGTGTAGTTGTTTCATACTTTTTTATTTATAATTATTTATTTATTTATTATTATATGGATAGCCTACTAATTAAAGGGACTCTTTTGGGCTTAGTCCCTTTATTAAACTGAGGTCGCCACAGTAGAATGAACCACCAACTTATCTAGCATGCCCTTCAAGCTGCAACCCATCCCTGGGAAACATCCATACACACTCAAACACTACGGACAATTTAGCCTACCCAATTCGCCTATACCCGGAGGAAACATAATCGAATGCAGGGAAAACATGCAAACTCCACACAGAAATGCCAACTGACCCAGCCAGTACTCGAACCAGCGACTTTCTTGATGTGAAGCGACACTACCTACTGCGCCACTACATCGACCATTAGCCTACTAATTTTACGCATAACGTTTTTTTTTTCCTTTCAAGGCTGATGGTATAAAATAATTGCCTTCACCATTTCTGCTTTTACAAAACAGTTAATCTATATACATAAATTATAGTTATTCACAAAACTACAAAACATAATAAAACAAAAACAATTCTACTTGATAAATAGCTTATATATTGCATAAACTAAACAATAAATTACATGAGTATTGCAAAATTGTGTTTATAAAACAAGGAATTAGCCTACGCACCAAATGATTTGCCAAGTTGAGACTGACTGGCATAAAAAAAATCGATGAATTTCATTTGATTAATCTCTGTTCATAAACTCATGTCTCTTAAAACAAACTCCTGTGTGCTGCCTAGTGGACAAAAGTAAAGTAAATTATAAAGACATGCCGACTGTAACAAATGATATGGTCACTTCATCATGACAACTTATGTTTTTATTTATCTGTAACTTAATAAACTAAGTTAATAATGTTCTAACTTAAGTTGATAAGTTATGCAAGTTGTTTTAAACAGTTTAATATAATGTATGTTCAAATGAATTATGAGGTTAATTTGATTCAGCTCTTAAAAAAATAAGGTAACCAGTATTTTTACAATGTTATCCTGCAGATCTTTATTCTGTTATATTGACATAAAAGTCTCCTTGGAGAACTTAAATCATCCATGTTGGGACCTTTCCATTCTATTCTTATAGGAATTTTTGACAATTAACTTATCTACACAAAACCAAAACAAAATTACTGAAATGTTAAATGGAAATATATTTTTAGATTATATTTAGATATAATTATATTTAGATTAGATTATATTAGCATCTAAATTCTTCCTTGCTATTGGCGAACTTTCAAAACTTCACAGCATTACCATTATATTGTAGTGTCTTTAGAAGAAAGTCTGTATCCCACATGCATTAACCATCTGCTGCACTGCAATGAAAGACAAGCTCAAAGAGCTCTTTATGACTTTCCTCATATAATCCATTCATATGCAGTGATTCCACAACATGAACTGGCAAGTGTTTAATATGCTGCACCAAAAGAGTGTTATCATTGTGTATCTCATCTATGACAGTTCACCTTAATGAACTTGATGAAACCCAGAAGAGATACTGCATCGTTTTTAGAAAGGGAACAAGACTTTGCAAGTTAGACCCTCAAAATGCTAATTCTGTTATATTTTTTATTTATTTTCAAGGTGTCTTTATGTGGAAAATATTTGCCAAGTGATCCTAAAAAAAGATCAGTGACAATGTAACAATATATTATTGTTTATTACTGTTTATTTTTCCCCAATTTCTGTTTAACGGAGGGAAGATTTTTTCAACACATTTCTAAACATAATAGTTTGTTCTGTAGACTATCGAAAAATATATAGCTTAAAGGGGCTAATAATTTTGACCTAAAAATGGCGATTAAAAAACAAACAAACTGCTTTTATTCTAGATTAAATTAAACAAATAAGACTTTCTTCAGAAGAAAAAATATTATCAGACATATTGTGAAAATTGCCTTGCTCTGCTAAACATCACTTGGGAAATATTTAAAAATAAAAAAATAAAATAAAAATCTTTTATTTTTTTCTGAGAGAAAGTTATTTCTTATCTATTATCTATTTATTACTTATTTTACTTTATATTAAGTATTTAATGTATTATATATATATATATATATATATATATATATATATATATATATATATATATATATATATATATATATATATATATATATATATATATATATATATATATTAAAGTTTAGCCTTTAAATTGCACTTTAAGCTGAATACTAGTATCTTGCAAAATACCAAGATAAATATTATTTACTGTCATCATGGCCAAGACAAATAAAATAAGTTATTAGAAATTAATTTTTTAAAACTATCATGTTTAAAATGTTGCCTCTGCACTTGGGAATTATTTTTAAAATAAATAAAATGAACCTAAATGCCACTTTTTACAAGAAATCGCTGATGTTCATATTATGTAGGGAGTGAGTGTGAATGTGACGTTTTAGCTTTAATTAACCCACAAATCATTTTTAGAAGTCTCTGAAACTTCCCCTTTTAGGCTCTGATCCACATTGTGCTATTTTGATGACTGTCGCTTTAAATTCAAATGAGATTGTGCTCTTTTTAAAAGAGGGCGGAGATACATATGTCTATAAGTCTAAAGGACAGATTCAAAACAGGACTAATGTGAAAAGAATTGTCCCAGAAGAGAGCAGTCTTAAGGAGATCATTAGTGCATCTTAAAACTCCACATTTATAATCCTCTTAACTGACATTATTTTCAGCAGGTGAAAACTCTAATGGCAAAAGACTGATTTTCACTCAAGGTTGTTTATGCAAATAATGGAGAATTCGTTACAAATGGGCAGGGCTTTCCCCCTCTAATGACAAATAGGAAGGGAGAATGTCAATCAAAGTGTTTCTACAGACTGTTTTTACAGTATGTACAGAGATTATAATTCCTATAATTAATTCATTTTTATCAGTAGAGGCTCGCTTTATTCACACACTGTTGCCACACAACTGTTTAAACCCCTTATAAAAATAATTTTTCCATAATAGGTCTCCTTTAAAATGTATAAATTATATATATATATATATATATATATATATATATATATATATATATATATATATATATATATATATATATATATATATATATTGTCTTCATTAAAAGTGTGGCTACTCAAATAAATGTTCTCACCTGAATACATTGCATAATGGTATAGCATAACATCAATTTCCCAAACTCGCTGCTGGAGGGCCAGTGTCCTGCAGAGTTTAGCTCCAACCCCAAAAGGATATGGTTGAACCAGCTAACCAAGTACATTCTAGGTATGCTACATATCCTGGCAGGTATATTTAGGGCAGTTGGAGCTAAACTCTGCAGGAATACCGGCCTCCCAAGACTGAGCTTAGACACCCCTGACTTAACTGGTACAGCAGGAACAGAACATCGACATTTCCTAAGATTGATGTTGTAACCCAACATTCTGAGTATGATGCATTTTGTTTGGAAATGAAAATCAGGTTGACGTCAATGTCCATCCTAAAATCAATCGAATATCAACGTCTAATGATGTCACAGCGTTGGTCACCTGACATCACAACTAAATCTAATATAATTTTAACATCTTATGATGTCGTGTACCTGCTGGGATGGTAATATTTAAAAACTTTAAACTTTTTTTTTTTTTTTTTACATTCACTGGAGTATTAGGTTATATGTAAACAATATTCATGATTTTTTTTTTAACTGCCCATGATAATAGCACTTTTTTCCATATCACATCATACATGTTGATGTTAAGGTTTAGGAAGTGCATGATTTACCTAAACTTTTTGCTCTGTTGAACGTAACCAACTTTAAAAGAAAAAAAAGATTACATGCAAAACTACTTGAGCAGCCTTTTTTAGACCATCTGTATGAGCTTCTCATAATGTTTGCATCTTCTTTTAAGCTGTACCTGTATACTCATCCATTAGCCTGCATGGATAAAGTGCACATTAAACATTCATTCAGTTCAAATAACATAAAGCTCCCTTGTCCTTTATTTAAGAAAAGTTCATCATTACAGTCCGTACCTTTTGAAAGCTGTCCAAAACTGCAGCAACAGTTTCCAAGCGAGAGTCAAAAGAACAATAATTTAATGCCGTGTATCAAATAAGATTAATATAATGCGTGAATCGAATGCATAGTTCCCTTTATTCATTATTTATTTATTTTATTGCCTATCCTGCCCTGGTGTGCTGTTCATTAAATATTGATGTGCAGCCATTTCAAATGAGCAATAATTAGTTTGTAAATCAGAAAAAAATAATGAAATAATAAAAAGTGGAGTCGAACGATCTCAAGTATCCCATTTTCAGTTAAAGTGAAGAATCAGCAGTCCTCTTCTCCATCCTCCACCAGAGGAATTTCTGGAAAATACAAAACAGATCATTGGTAAGTGTGTCAAAATTTACAATTTAGAAGGGATTGTTCACTAAAGAAATGATAGTTTCCTCACTATTTACTCTTCCACAAGCGGTTATGAGCCTTTATGTGTTTCTATTTTCTCCTAAACCCTAACTAAGTTTGAAGAAAGCTGAAAGCTGACTTGGCGAGGCAGTGGTGCAGTAGGTAGTGCTGTCGCCTCACAGCAAGAAGGTCGCTGGTTTGAACCTCGGCTCAGTTGGCATTTCTGTGTGGAGTTTGCATGTTCTCCCTGCCTCTGCGTGGGTTTCCTCCAGGTGCTCCCGTTTCCCCCACAGTCCAAAGACATGTGGTACAGATAAATTGAGTAGGCTAAATTGTCCGTAGTGTATGAGTGTGTGTGTGAATGTGTGTGTGGATGTTTCCCAGAGATGGGTTGCGGCTGGAAGGGCATCCGCTGCGTAAAAAAAAAAAAAACTTGCTGGATAAGTTGGCGGTTCATTCTGCTGTGGCGACCCCAGATTAATAAAGGGACTAAGCCAACAAGAAAATGAATGAATAAAAGCTGACTTCCAAATACAATGGAAGTTGAGGGTTACAGATTTTCAGCTTTCTTCAAAATTTCTTCCTTCGTGTGCAGCAGAAGAAAATCAAACAGGTTCGGAACAAAGGACTGATGGGAATAACAGCGTCATAAATAAACATTGTTACTTTTTTCAGGTAGGGAGTAATCAAACTAATCACTGTTTCCTCTGTTACAATGCCATTACTGTTACTGACAATAAAATGAGGCCTATCTATCAGTAACACTTTACAATGAGGCTGTATTAGTTAAAGATAATGTATTTACTAATATGAACAGACAACAAACAATACAATTATTACAGTATCTAATGTGTGTTAGTTAATATTAATGAAGTCTATCTATCTATCTATCTATCTATCTATCTATCTATCTATCTATCTATCTATCTATCTAACTTTCTTTCTTTCTTTCTTTCTGTCTATCTCATAATTAACACAATAGCTACTGTATTACCTCTCGTAATTAGTCACTTTTATGATAAACTCAGTTACTAATTAAATTTATGTTTGTGAGTAAGAATAAACAATAACATTTTTTAAATCAACGTGCCCAACAATGATCATGACAGAAGTTTTCATTTTTAAGTTACAGTTTAAGTTACACTCGCTTTGGTGCATTTCTCACAACACGATTTACATTTGCACAACAGTTAATGCATTTCTCAAAACAATTAGTACTGATTAGTACTGTTAGTAGTGTAGTTAGTATTGATGTCAATAAAAGTGTCAGTGTCATCAAGATGAAAAGTCCTGACACCACTGTTTATGAACAAGATAGTCAAATGGCTGTCATGTTTTCATTATGACGGTTTACTCTGTACAGTATTTTCCAATGCAAAAAAAGTCAGATTTTGGTGGCACGTCCTGAAAATGCTTAAGACAGCACTATATACTATTTGCACAGCCATTTGAAAACTACAGTAAAGTTAGACATGACTGCATTTAGTGAGGTATCTGAGTACAAGACACTGAATATGTATGTTACACATTTTTACTGCATTTGCTCTTTACAATTCTAATTTATTCACAACATTGTGCAAAAGAATAAATAAACTCTTATTTACAACAAACATAAACTCCTTTGGGTAGAGCTGTGCACAACTGTACATGATAGTGCAGTACATATTGGAACTGAACCTACAACACGCATAGCTCTGTAAATCATTCGTGAAATTGTTTAATTTAGAAGACATTGTCAGAGAAAAAGATTTCAACATTTTTATAAAATTAGCATGACAGATTTTGATAATTAGTTCAGCATTTCTGCATGTAATGACTCAAGTAATGAAATTAGGAATATTAGTTTTTTATGGAATGACTATTTAGTATTCACAAGTTTAGTTAATATTGACTGATGCATGTCTAAAAGCATTTGCAATTTGTAGGAAGGAATGAGAAACTGCTACTATGACGAGCACAAATCACTAATTGTTTTGAGAAATGCATTAACTGTTGTGGAAAAGTAAATAGTGTTGTGAGAAATGCACCAAAGCCACTCAGAAAACTGTGAGCATGAAATGATAAAGCAGTGTATGTGTATTACCACTAGGTGTCAGCAGCGCACAGTCTTACCGTCTGCAATGTCTATACTGGGGCTCGTGGATGCGGTTTCCTCCATGGAGGTGATGGCATTGGTTTTCTCAGACATGTTGAGTCCACCGGGATGAGATGAAGATGGCTGTAGGCCTTGAAGGCATTCTGATGTGTCTGAGAGGCTGTCGCAGTTCTCGACATCACCGGTGTCCAGCGGCACACTGTTTTGGCTTCCCGTATGTCCGGGATATGAAGGCGGGTTCTGTTCTTCTGAATGCTGAGCGCTCTCCAGACCATCAGGAGGCAGATCGTTTGGGGGTTGACAGTAATTGCCACTTATAGCTTCTTCATAGGAGGGAAGAGGTACGGCGACTCCATCCACAACCAAGATGTTTGGATCCCGACTTTCATCTGGTTCATCGCTGAATGAGGAAAGAAATATATTTTTATTTGTTTGTTTTTACTTATTTAACTGGGATAATGGGGAGTCAAAGTTGAACTGAGTTAGCTACATAGCTACATTTCATCTTCAGAGAATAAATATACAGATTACAAAAACAGCTTTAACTGTGCTAAGGTATATACTTATGTTAATACCTGGTGAATTATTGAATTATTAACTGCTAGAGAAAGAGCAGAATGACTAAAACCAGCAACTTTAAAATTGTTTACCCACTATCACCTCTTGGTAGAGCTCTTGCATTCAAAGACAAAATTGTTAAACTACTAACAATTTTGTTTAACAACGTTTCAAAGTGAAAACAATTACAATAAACGTGGGGTTCTAAGGTTCTAAGTTCTAAGGCAGTGGTTCTCAAACTTTTTTCATCAAGTACCACTTCAGAAAAAAATTGTCTCTCCAAGTGCCACCAAAATGAGCAGTATTGAAATACAGTAGTGTAGTAGGCCCAGTAAAGCAGCTACAGCTTTGCACAGTTAAAAAACGTGGCAGATTACCTCAGAAATATAGGCTATGTCATATATGGCATATTATATACTTCATTTTTGATAAATTTTTAAATGTATGTAGCATGTACATGACATATTTCATTCCTCCGCGTACCACTAGAAGGAAGCCCGTGTACCACTAGTGGTACACGTACTACAGTTTGAGAACCACTGTTCTAAGGTATTTGCTTAGGGTTAACCATGGCATGCTTCAGAGGTTTTCACCACAGTGTCGGCAGATGTCTTCCTGCCAATTATTGAAAAAGTAAGGCAAAATTCGGATGAGAAACACAGGAGAAACCATTTTTGCAGCATAAAAGTATTTTTTATTACACTCAATTTTTTTATTTAAAAAAAATCTGTGAAAATATGAATATGAAATCTTATATTGTTGTGATCACCATCTTCTTCTAAGCTAAAAGATGAAACCATTTTGAAAGATGTAAGAAACACGGTGATAACCAGCCGGGTTTTGAAGAAAACATGACACAGCGGGGTTAGTTGTAACAGGGTGTTACAATTAAGCTACACACTGTTGAACACCAATTAAACTAACAACATATATTTTTTAATTTTAAGTGTAATGTTGAAAACTTTTTAAATAAAAAAAAAAGTTTTTTTATAGAATTTTTTTTTTGATAGACAAAAAATATTTCATTGCTAATACTACAAATAAATGCATTGTATAATAATGGATAATAATATAAATAAATCCAAATGTGTTTATTCAATAAATAAATAAACATACTGTGCTATGTAGAATTAAAAAATGAGCTAAGTACTGAGGAAATAAAGCTACTGTTTAAAGTAAACTTAATTTAAATTAACTGTGTGTATTGTAATCTGCCTTTTAAAGCTTGTGTTACAACTAACCCTCTGTCTGTTACAACTTGACCCGCAGGTGGGGTACATTGTAACGTTTTTACTCCTGGCACTTTTGGCAACACTGCACAGAAAGCATAGGTCCGGCGATCATACTTTCAGTCCTCATTTGTAGGAGAGGCTTGTGTTTTGTTGGTAAAAAAAACAAATTATTTGTCTAACCCCAATACTTTGTTTATTACTTGACCAAAACCAACTTGTGCCCTGGCGTCCGTTCTTCGTACCTTGCTTAAATGATCTAAGATTATTTGGCAGATCCCGGATCTTTTAATCTTGATCACTGATCTCTCGCTAATTTGGTTCTTCAAACGAGTTCGCGGATCAGATTCGAATGTCTGGATAAACTGATCTGAGATCGCTGCATGTGTTGTAAAAGACAGATCTATCGATCCTCGAAATCATGATCAGCAATGCAACGATTGGATGACGGCACAGCAGCGTAATGACATCATCTGATTAATATTCAATTATCCATGTGAGCAAAATTACGTCAAATTAGCAGTAAACGGCTTGTTAAATATGACACGCAATAACCTTCCACATTTGTTGTGAGCTGCAGGCTTTCCACTTTCATGTGTCAAGTGTATTCATCATGTATTTCAATGCAAATCAGTGTATTCAGTTCCACATTTAGAAAAGATTTTCTTTATTATAGTAGCCATTTTGTAATCGGTGTAAAGAATAACTGGTTGTTTACAAAAGTGTTTTCATATTGGTAAAGGCGTCTGCAACTTTTGCGAAGCATCAAATCACCGGCATATTAACTATCAAAACATGTTTATGACTGCTGAAATGATTGCTTTAAAAAAGTCACATATTGTGCATTTCTATTATACACAATTTGTACTAAAGCGATCTAAAAAGTTCATATCAATAAGCTTTCTCTTTGCACCACCAGGTGGCAATCTTTGTAGCCTACTTTTATTTCGAGGGTGCAGATTGCATACGTTTTATTAAAATGAATAACTTAATTTATTTTATTAATGACTATAACTTTATATATATAGTTAAAAAATATGAACCATTTCCCTAACTTTATATAACTACTACTGTAAGAAAATATCAGAATTCGGTACATACTTTCTGTATTATCTTTGCTTGAACTAAGCCAATCTAATCCTGTTTATATGAATTAAACCTGCTCCCGATCAGGTTTGACCTAGCAGAACTGTTGCTATGACAACAACTCTCGGATCAGCTTTGAAGAACGAAACGATCCTGGATCATGTCAAATCGTCAATATCCAAATCCAGCTAACTGAGTAATCCACTTACGAAGAACGGACCCCTGCTCTCCCCCTATATATATATAACAAGTAATACATATATATATACAAGTGTTAACAAGTAACACTTAACAAATTATATATTTATTTATTATATTATATATTATATTTACAGGAGTACATTTTATATTTTTATAGGAGTAAAAGTAAACGGAGTAAAAACGTTACTATGTACCCCACCTACGGGGCAAGTTGTAACAGACAGAAGGTTAGCAGACAGACAGATATATATATTTTTTATATTTTAGTTGTGACTAAAGCATGGCTTTCATATATAATAATAAATTCCAAACATTCACAGGCACTCAAGTAGAGAGCATCAGCCATTCTTGGCTCGTTTTGAGTTCCATAACCGATTAATTATTTACTTGGAGACTCTATCTGACTAGATAGTTGAATCAGGAAAGAGTTAACTTAAAGGGATAGTTCACCCCTAAAAATAAAAAAAATTTCTAACCATTTACTCACAATAAAGTAGTTCTGTAAATGTAGAAGGCCAGCAGCTATTCGCATGTGTAGAATAAACAAAACACTATGGAGGCCAATGTCTACTGCCCTCCAGCATTCTTCAAACTTTCTACGTTTGTGTTCAGTAGGAGACATAGCAAGTTTGGAGCATCCTCTTTGTGAACACCAGACAATGGTTGGCTCGTGAACAGATACAATATGATCAGACAGATTCATTAAATTATTGTTCAGTGGAATTTGTAAACAGTTTACCTGAAAAGAGTAAGAATCAAACACGGCTATTCTAGGTGACAACGTGTCCTGTTTACAATAATGAGAATCAGTTAAAAATTTTAAATATTATGCTTTTAAATATAGTAAATGGACAATTAAGATAATCATAATAATAATAATTAAAATAAAACAAATGTCTTTTCACCCCTGTTCATGTTTATTATGTTGGCTGTACCTTGGACTTTGCTGTGATTTGCATTTGTAGTGAAACATCTTGGCCGTGATGACCAAGAGCAGGGCTAGCAGCACACTAGTGGCCGTACAAGCCACGACTTTCCATGTGGTCAGTAGAGAATCCTGGAAACCAGGCCAGGTTGTTTCTGTAGGAACAAAGCAGTGCTTATTAAGCTGTAGCAGCCCAGATTAACATTGTGTTAGAATTAAAAAATAAATAAATAAATAAATATATATATATATATATATATATATATATATATATATATATATATATATATATATATATCTTGTTCTTGATACCTGCAAGTTGCAACTGTCCTTCAAACCACTAGGTTTTACATTTTTTGTTTGCATTAAGAATTAAAATTGATAGAATAATTCTCATTACATATTTCTTATGCTAAAGTGCCATTTTGATCACATTAAAATGGCACATTGTGCTCACTTTGTAGTGTCTTTAAACTAAACTTCTACTACTACTACTGCTACATTGCTTATATTTCTTGTGAATTACACAGTATTTAACTGTAACATGAACTGTATTTTACTGTAGGACAGTTATGTAGTATGTTACTATATTTTAAAGTTAATGTATTTTTACAGTAAATATATAAAATAAATTATAGCAAAAATACTGTATTTACATCTACAGCACCATTTATGTTGCTGTATATGTATACACTGTTGTATGTCTTTACTGTAAAATATATAGTAATTTTTACATTGCAGCTTTAAAATACGGTAACATACTGCATAACTGTCCTACAGTGAATTTCAATTTATATTACATTTCAGTTCACCAGTCACTTACTGTACATCTATTGCAGCAAAAATACCCTATTTAAATTTACAGCACCATTTGTCTTGCTTTACATGTATTAATAGTATTTTTGATGTAATTGATTTACACTAAGTTACTGGCAAACTGCTGCCAACAAAGTTACTGTACATTCAACATATGTAGTTCTATGTACAGTTGAAAGCCAAATTTTTCACCCTTCTGTAAACTTTTCATTATAACAGGACAAGAAACTTTTTCCACAATATTTCCTATAATCATTTACTTTATAGATAAAGTCTTATTTCCTTTAAGTTGGTTTCAAATAAACATTTAAAAAATATAAATAAAAAAAAAAACTTTTAGGGTCAATATTATTAACCCCATTAATGAGCCCTTATTATGGGTTTTTGAAAATGACTAATTAAAGTGAAATATACAAGGTTTAAGGGCCCTATATCATATACCCGGTGCAATATGGCGCAAGGCACGATGCAACTGTTTTTTGCTAGTTTCAGCTTGGCGCAAGTGTCGTTTGATGTTTTGCGCATGGCTGTTTAAACAGTAAATGCTTTTGCGCTCATATGTGCGCCCATAGGCGTTCTGGTCTAAAAAGAAAGGCATTCTGAGGCGCATTGCTGGCGCGTTGCTATTTTGAGAAACTATAATAGATTATTCAATAGACCTGAACAAAGCCGGTCTATTGTCCAGCGCAGAGTTGTGCCTCGCTTACACACTGCTTAATACACAAAAGATGTAGAGCAATACACAAACATCTTTACAAATGAAAAAGAATACAAATATTAAGGATATATATAGGATATAATAAGGATATATATAGGATATAAATATAAAGGATTAAAATGTTACAAAAGATATTATTTTCTAGCCTACATAAATTTAAAAACCACTGCCTTCATGCCTTCTTCATCTCGGGAGGCTTTTTCAGTTCATTCATAACATTTTGCTTTTGTGTAATGTTATTATTATTAGCAGTATTATTTATTAAATGAGTATATACAATTGTTTTATTAAAAACAAGCTTAGATTTGCCCACCTGCAGGTTTTAGACCGTATGGGGCACAGCATGTGTATTTGGATATAACTCAGGTTTTTGAGCACACTTCGTTATTATTGTTCATTTATTCATTTACTGGAAATTAGAACTGAATTTAGAAATAGTTTTGAAACAAATCTTTGCGCTTAATAAACAAGATTAATTATGTATAGACTAATAGATATCTGTGCGTACAAGGTTTCCCTATCCATGAGAGCGAAAGTGAAAGTAGATTATGAGATGCCTTATCTCTCATTCTCGCGCTGCAGATGCTCTGTTTAACTGTTTTCTTACAAGTAAAATGCTAATTTTTTTCCATTTACACTTACTTTACGTCATGTAAATAGCAAATGCGCTTATGGCATGACGCGACTGACTCTTAAAGGGAATGGGAGATGAGACTCTGGTTTATTCTCAAAACACACCTATAACTCATTAAGAAAATAAGCTCAACCCTTTTAGATCATGCGCCATGGCGCAAAGCAGATTTTTCCGTCCTTAAAATTGCAAAAGTGGATTCTGATACGCCCTAAAAGCCCTAAACTGTCCAAATAGAGCCCTAAATCCTAAAAGTGCACTATGTTTACAAATATTGGTTTAAATGAATCGCCGCTGTAATAGAGTGGAGGAACTATGACGTCAATTTGTATGCAAAAACCCGGAAGCGAGTTAGCATTTTAGCACTTCCGGTCCCTCGTCCCAAAGTCAATGGGTTTTTTGAATGGGGTTTCAGTATAGTCGCTTAAATAAGGTCCGTGGCTAACACAAACTCAAGATACTTTCATGTTTTGTTCTATGACATAAAACACATCAGTTACAGCACACTCTTCAACTTTTAAATCGATTATGCTTCTTTAAAAAGACGGTTGCTATCAAGTTGCTAAATGGGACTACAGGCGGTGTCAAGGACATTATACGTCATCGAGCTGATCTGGTCTGGAGCGCAGCTCGCTTGTGTTGGGCGTTTGGATTTGTCTGTTATTTAGGTATTTTCATAAATAGTATTTTATAGTTTGTTGTATTATTCTAATTGAGAATTCAGATTGTGTGTAGATAATTCCTTCACATGTAAAGGCTTTCGAGACAGACTAATTTGTTGATCATTTATTTTAATTAAACGATATTATGAAGATACTGCTCACCAGTGCAGCAGCCCGTTTCTTTCCTGCTCCTAGTAATGCAAACGTGTGAATAAATGTGTAAAAATACATGCATGTTAACTGTCATTTTAACATGATCAAGTGATATCTCGTCTTTTTTTCTTCACCTGACATTTAACTGCAATATTTACACTCCTCCATAAAACGTATAACAGATGTGACTGTATGGGCTGCTTTTCACTGTACTTCGTGACAAAAAAGGAATATTGAATCTTGCTCTGTGTCCATGATGATGGAACTTGCAGGCATTTGATAGACTTTTCTCCTCACGCCTCATTTCTGTCATCTGTTAAGGTAAGCAGGCTGTGTGCACGAGCGATACACTTATTTAAATATGTCTCATAATAACACTATATAGGCACATTTATACACATATTTAAAACGTTTAGATCAACCGCAAAGCAAAACAGATGTATTTCCCACGTAAAAACGATCCAAAAGGCACAAAGGTCTATGTGTGTTTGCGTATTTATTAGTTTATAATATATAGCGTGGATTATAATATAATAAACAGAGAGATTAACTCTTTGTCATGGACATTATTTCTAAAAATAAGCTTGATAAGTCGTCTGTAGCAGGGTGGGGCTGACGTCACTGACGAGCGCCCGAGGGCTCTGTAGTCCGTTTATAGCCTAATGTTAGCTTTTCAAGTCTTGCGTTTGCATTTAAGATCTAAAAGAGCTCAAAGTTGTATTTTCGTGTGACAATTATCTGGCTGAACAAAACGTGTAAGTGTAATGAACCGTGTTTGAACACAGAGCTTATTATTCGCAATCTTCGAAAACCCTATGGGAAAATCCTATAGGGATTTTCACGAGGGAACCAGTTTTATGCTAGCAGCCGATTAGCCTACAAAGTGACGTCATAGTTCCTCCACTCTATGAGTCTTTATGTCGGCCTGACATCGATTCAGAATTCAAACCCCACCCATTTGTTGCACGCTTAAACCCAGGAAAATGGAGACCCTCATGGATTAGTTTTTTCCTCCTTTTCAAAAGTGTAAGTAACTTAAGTGCGATTAAAATGGTTGCCTCGTTGTTTTCTCTAGCTTGCAAATTATGTATTTAATTGTGTTTTGTTACTTGTCCTTTATCAGGTTAACTCTTTATATTCTCATATCTCATCTAAAAGCATGTTAAAAAAGTGACACGTGATGCTTTGTTTATGGATTTAAATTAGTTTATAAACTTACAATCACCTGCTGTTTGTCGTTACTATGGCCACCGTCAGCTGTTCCTACACAAGTTTCAAAATAGCTCAGCTTTTGCCACTGTGTGGATGAATGCTGAATGTGTGTCATGGTTAAGAATAGAGCAATATGCTGGTGTTTAACTGCACTGCTTTAACGCACTTCTGCATTGGGCTCACACATACACTCTGCACTCTGACTGCCTCAAAATTGTTGATAAGCGTGCTGGGAATTTCTCTCTGTCTTGCGCTTAACACAGTCAACCAATCACAACAGACTAAACAAATCATATGGTAGTTGCTGAGATATTTAGGTAAAAATAAATGTATATTATAAGACAATGAAAGTGTTTTTTGACCTTGCATACATATCAGCCTGTTGTTAGAGACCCCCAAAACCAAAATATGAACATTTTTAATGAATAATAGGGGATCTTTAATGTTGCATTTTGAAACTGCTTAATTAAAAACATCAGGGACTTGTGTACACAATAAAAAACTGAACGATAACAATGTTTTAAGGGATGCAAGGAAAATGAAAAGTCTTGGCTGGAGCACAGTATATATATATATACACACACACATATATATATATATACATAGCCAATCGAAAAAAATATATATATATATGTATATATATATTTCATAGATATGTATATATATATATATATATATATATATATATATATATATATATATATATATATCTATATATATATATCTATATATATATATATATGTGTGTGTGTGTGTGTGTGTATATATATATATATATATATATATATATATATATATATATATATATGTGTGTGTGTGTGTGTGTGTGTGTGTGTGTGTGTATATATATATATATATATATATATATATATATATATATATATATATATATATATTTTTTTTTTTTTTTTTTTCGATTGGCTACAGAACAAACCACAGTTGTCTAATGACTTGTCTAATTAACCTAATTAATCAAGATAAGCCTTTAAACAGCATATAGTCTCTTGCAAAATGACTAGTAAAATATTAAGTAATGTCATCATAGCAAAGATAAAAGAAAGAGATAGGAGGGCTAAAACGTTACTACATAATAGCCAAAGACACTTAAGATGAAGTTTTCTCGTAATTTTGAGACTGATTTACCATCTTTGACGCAGTAGAGCTGCATTTGTGGAAACCACTGGCCATACTGGCAGGTGATGTACTTGTAGTCATTCGCTAGAGAGTAGCCAGGATAACAGTAGTACTCCACGACCGTCCCGTGAATGTATCGGTCACATGGATGAGGGTGGCACGTGTAATCTCCATGTTCTATCATTGGCGGTAAAGAGCATGCTGTAAAACATCAAAGACACAGGAAAAGCCAGTCATTCTGATTACGCATTTCCTTTTCCTGAGTCACACACCACACTGAATGTGTTCTTTTTTTTGTTTCCGAACATTCCGAACATTCCAACATGACATTTTGACTGGTTTTGAATGTTTACATTAGGGATGTTTTAGTTGTCTTTCATTAGTGTGTCAGATTATAAGATTTTTACTCTTAAATTCTTGTCATGTCATGGACAATCATCACTACCCATCATTAGCAATATGCATTATGTCATCAAGAAGACAGAACTGCTGGAAACAATTGTGTAAGAAACGATGGCAGCCGTCTGGAAAACATCATTAAAACGGAAGTGTTGTTGCCACAGGTCTACCTTTCGTTCAGTGCACATACAGTTGAAAGTGAAATAAACATCCTGGTTTTTCTGCCATGGTGAAGCATTCTAGATGTGGCGCCAGTTGATGAAATGAAATAATTCATTCTTGAATTGATTGTTTCAATACTGGAATGAGATTTAGTTGCAATCCAAAATTGTTTTATTAGGTCATTACGTCAATTACTGTTAATAAAGTATGTTTTATATAGTCCAAATATGGGTAGTATGAATGGAATTTAAATGTACTACATCTGTCATGTTGTTGTTTTTAAATTATATACTAGCGTCAGTTGCATCTCTTCATTTTTATTGATAAATCCTCTGCTTTGGGTTTCCTGCTCTGTTGCAATTAGGGTTTTTTTTTTCTTTTCTTTGTAACTTCTGTTTTTGCTTTATAAACTCCAAGACATTTTAATATATTATGTTGCAGGCTTATTTACTGATCTTACATAATTGAGAAAGCCCACATAATGTTATCTGACTTAAAGTTATCATTATTTAAGCTTCTGGTTTCTATTAATCTCCTTCTAGGGCTTTAATGTAGAGCTGCACAATTAATCGTTAAAAGATCGCGATCTCGATTCGAACCCCTAGACGATCTTAATCCAGCATTTCTACGATTCTGCCAATCATATTTTCAAGTTCAGGAGAGAAGAAGCACGAGTCTTTTCATTGTTTCAGATATTGCTCAGCGACATGGACACCTTCAAATGATATTGAATGAGTCTCATACTGTATTTATAAGGTATAATTCACCTTAAAATGTCATTTTAGTTTACATATAAATATGTTTTCGCAGCCGGGAAATCACATGGGACGTGAGCTGTTATCACTTAATAATAGACGCGCGTGCGTCTACTTTAGTGAACAGAACCTGCATTTGTTGCAAGTAACAGGTAATACAGTTGTAAATAATATTCAGTTTGTGGCACAGAGTGATCGTTTGGGAGCAACGCGCAAAGTATGAACAGCACTTAGCAGTCAAAATGAAACCGAAAGTGTGCACTTCATTTAAATGATCATATCGCATTTTAGAGTTATGATTACAAGCATGTGATGTTTTTTTCTTTCATAGCGAACCCACTGTTGTGCATGAAAATAAATGTTTACAATGTTAGTTTAACTACTCTAGCCTATAGATATTGTTGAATATAATCTCATAATGGCAAATGTCTGATTCACTTTACCAGTGAATAAATGTGTCTAATATGACAGATTGCGAGATATCTCAAACATAATAATACAACATCAGAATTATTATAAGTAGAATATAATTATTTAAAGAAACCAGTAGACCTACACATAATATTATTATCGATGTTGTGCCATATATATCTACAGAATCGTGAGAAAATCGTGATCTTTATTTTAAGCAAAGAAATCGCGATTCTCATTTTAGCCAGAATCGTGCAGCTCTACTTTAATGCTACAATTGCCAAAATTGGCAGATAGCTGGGAAATAGGCTGTAGATTTATTCTGTATCTTTTCCAACTGGTCCAACTTTTGGTTGTACAAAAAGTGACATGGAAAACTCTGAAAAATCACATTGACTTGACATTAAAAGCCCTATCATACACCCGGTGCAATACGGCGCGAGACATATTTGCCCTGATGTGCTGTTATTTTCAGACCAGCACAACCTTAATTTTCTAGTTTTGTGCCACGTTGTCATTCATTCATTTGTGTTCTTTTCGGCTTAGTCCCTTTATTAATCCAGGGTCTCCCGTTTGCATGTTCCCCCTGCATTCGCGTGGGTTTCCTCCGGGTGCTCCGGTTTCCCCCACTGTCCAAAGACATGCAGTACATGCAGTGGGTAGGCTAAATTGTCCGTAGTGTATGAGTGTGTGTGTGTGTGGATGTTTCCCAGAGATGGGTTGCAGCTGGAAGGGTGTCCGCTACGTAAAAACGTGCTGGATAAGTTGGCGGTTCCCTTAATAAAGGGACTAAGCCAACAAGAAAATTAATGAATGTCTCTATTGGCATTATTAGTGTAAGTACAGCTATTAGAACTTAATTGTCTCAAGGCTTACAGACAGTCCTATTCAGTTTTGTTGATTTTAGTCGTTTTTATACATTTTCATTTTTATATATTTATGTATCATCATAAATGCATTTTGCTTGTAGACCAAGTAGTTCAACAGTTTACTGTCGTTTGTTAATCCTAGTCGTCTCCCAAGGCAAATGAATGGAAAGTTCTAAAACAATTATGGATAAGACATCTACCTTAAAGAATAAGGTGAATAGTTTTTTTCATTCACACATTTATTTATTCTCCTTTGGCTTAGTCCCTAACTATTTCAGTACCACAATCCAGCATTGGGAAATACTCATACACTCTTATTTACACACACATTCATACACTATGGTCAAATTAGTTTATTCAATTCACCTACAGAGCACGTCTTTAGAATGTGGGGGAAACTGGAGCACCTGGACTCAAACCAGCCACCTTCTTTCTGAGAGAAGACAGTGCTAACCACTGAGTCACCATGCCACATATATTTCTTTCAAGACTTTCTAAATACTTTCTATTTACCCTCAACATCAAGGCACCGGGGTGGCGTATCTGACCAGATGAGGTTATACATGCATTCCAGAAGTTCAGGTCCCTCCAATTTGTATCCAGGAAAGCACTGATAGTGGACAACAGTTCCAACAGGCACAGAGAACTTAGTTTCCGAGATGTTCATGTAGCTGTGTGGCGGTATTAGCGGTCGCAGGCAGCCTGAGGAGACACAAAACCCTTTACAGATATAAAATCTTAACTGGCTTTCATGACTGTGTTGCTGAATAATTGAACCATATTCGGTTACAGGCTAGATTTGTTTTGAATAACTTCCAGAAAAATGATGTGCGTCAAACCTTGACAGGTTGGCTGATTATCCCATGTCCCATCCGCCTGACAGACTGATTCCATAGTTTCTGTGTCAGGATATCGGATCTGAAATCCCTCATGACAGCTAATAATGAGGCTGTCACCAGGCCTGTATGTCCTATTTGTGACATCAGCGTCCTCGATGAATGGAGGAAGACAATCTTTGAAGGACAGAATAGCTTAGTAAGTGCTGCAACATTTTTATACACCTTTACAGATGAAGATGTACAATTATTAAAAGGGTTAGTTCACCTAAATATGAAAAGTCTGTTATTAATTACTCACCCTCATGCTATTCCAAACTCCTGAGACCTTTGTTCATCTTCAGAAACACAAATTAAGATATTTTAGATTAAATCTGAGAGCTCCCTCATCCTCTATAGTGAGCAATGGTCAATAAACAAAAACAAACTTAAAACATTGTCAAAACATGTCATGTGACTTCAGTGGTTTAACTGGAATCATACAAACTCCAAGAACACTTTTGTGCTCCGAATAAAATGTAAACAGTGATTGTTCACTCTTCATTTGCTACGTTTCCATCCACCTATTTTAAGCGCAGTTTGGATATGCGCATAAAAAATCATTGATGGAAACGCCAAGGTGCGCATACATGAAAACTTGCATAAAAAACATACGCATAACTGAGTAGGGTAAACTTTGTATTCGATTAGAAAAGATGCGCATAAACTATGATGAAAACACTTACCAAACAAATTTCAGTATGCGCATTAAAAAAGGTCATATGACTTTGTTATAAGAGGTCATGTGATGATAAAAATGTGTGCGAATGGACAAACCAGCAGGCTGAGCACATTATAAAAGCACATTGTAAAACATCTGAAATGTTGTTTTGGTCATTCTAAAACACCTTAACCGTTTCAGTATTAGTGTTATTATATTAGCGATGACCTCCAGAATCAAGAGCATCTGTGCACCACGTCTCACACCTTCAAACACCACAGCGCATTCATTGCGTGTCAGAATTGCATTCTGAGAGGCAAGTCATTTATTAAATGAAGAAAAGATTCACGCAGCTTCTCCGACCACAGCAAATTTCGTTATTGACCTTGATACTTGGTGCCAGTAAATCAGGAAGTGACTATTTTGTTTGATTTGACTCGTTGGATGTAAACGCTGCATTATTTGCACATATTTAATGCGATAATCCAGTTTTGTGCATAAAATAGCTTGCATCTTTGGATGGAAACAAAGCTAGTGTTGGATAAAGTTACATTTAAGAGTAATTTATTATAATCTTGAATCATTCATTCATTCATTTTCTTTTTGGCTTAGTCCCTTTATTAATCTGGGGTCTCCACAGTGGAATTAACCGCCATAATCCCTTTAAAAACAAAAAGTCCCTTTAAGCAGGGGCGGAGCGTCCATAGAGGCGACCAAGACGACCGCCTGGGGTGGCGTCTGCGACACCTTCCTTAACATCCGCGTCCTCAGTTATGTCCGCGAAACCTCCCTCAGCTCCTGCCTCCTCAGTTATATCCGCACCTTGGAGAGGACGGCGTCCGCGACACCTCCCTCAACACCCGCGCCCTCAGTTGTCTGCTCAGTTATATCCGCACAGAATAGAGAGGACGGCGTCCGCGACACCTCCCTCAACACCCGCGCCCTCAGTTATGTCTGCGGCCTCTCAGGCAGTATGCTCACTCATTATGTTTGAATGGGGAAACATCAAATTCGTCAAAACTGTTTGCCAAGCTTACGATTGCATAAAAAATTTTTAATCACCAATAAAATTAAGCAACAACTTTCTCATAGGTTTCGTTTCTAAACATTTGAATCAAACAAAATCAGTATTTTTTCAGGTTGCCCAAAAATAATGCGCATGTGCATTCGAAAAAAACGAGATCACGACACCAATCTCATTTGTGGCCAATCTACACTTTATCATACTCTGGATAATGATTCGTCTGATCGCTCTGGTCTTCTGAAGTAATCCACAACTTGGTCTTGATGGTGAATCTCCTCCAGAAATGACAGAGATTCTTTTTTTTTTTTACAAGTTTGTGGGCGTTTAAGTAGTTGCTGCTGTCATGTGATGTGCGTTTGTCAGGACAGACTATACCTTGTGTTCGTTTTATACAGATTACAAAACCAGAAAACTTTAGTTTTCAAGTGCACGTGGTTCATTTAAAATGAAAGATTTCAAGGTTTATGTGGATATATTTCTTATGTCTGTAAAACAAGTATTCGCCGAGATTCCAGTGTGTTTGTTGACCACAAAAAACTTCATATAAGCACTTGTCTGGTCTGAGCTTCTCCCCCGGAGTATCATCAGTCTATAGTGATCGATGATTGGCTCCTGTACTACTAGGCGGGACTTCATTCGCTATATTGACCGTTACAGTTTTCTCCATTCAAAACTCTACCAGTGACATGTCTTGTGTATTCTATAGTCTTTGCCTAAATCCCAGATAATAGAAATCCTGGGTCATCTGTAATCACGTTTCACACTGCTCATTCTATACCTGGGGTTAACGATTAATCCTGTATATTCATTAACAAATATTTCACACTGTACATTCCTAAAACCCAGGTTAACATTCTTATTTGCCTATTTGCAGTGTCACTGTCACTGATTGGACAAAAACCATTTTCATAGTCTTTCTCCTTCTTATCAGTTATAAACAAATATCGCTACCTAGGTCTTTAGCTAAGCCTCATAAGATTTGCAAAGACAAGAACACGAAAGTATCTCAGCATCTCCTTTTATTTCTTTTTTTTCACCAACTGCTGATTATGATTTGTGTTTCTTGCTACTGTTGTCACATGACTCACACTCCCCAGTTTCCGATTGGCTGTGTGTTGCCAAGCATCCTGCAGCAACAAACAAGCACTGCTTCGTTTCACACTAAACAAATAGCTCCCTATGCAGGAATAAAAACACAAATGCAGTGCTAAGCCTGCTCTGGAGAAGGGTTTATAATCCAACGCAATCTCACGGCAATTCGTAACTTTTTGATTTAGTGGCTAATTTGTATGAATTCATACAATCTAATTTGTACAATTTACAAATTGCCCATCACCCAATGACGGTTGGGTTTAGGGGCAGGGTTAGGTGCCACGCCTCCTTTTTAAAATCGTATAATTTCGTACAACTCAACTCAAACGAATTAGCTACTTAACTGACAAAACGTTAAATTTTCTCGTGAAATCAGGCTGTATAATCCTGGGAAAATGCTAACATCCCTGGGCAAAGTGTTTAAGTGTAAAGTGCTAAGACCACTGTCAAATTACAAGTGTGAAACACGTCTTTACCCAGGGTTAAGAGAAAACATTGGGGAACAAATTCATTTACAGTATATAGAGCTTCATATGATTAGCTATTAAACCACTGAAGTCAATGTTTTGACTGTGCTTTTGGTTTCTTTTCTGCACTTTGAATGTATTCTGGACCATCTATGGAGGGTAAGAGAGCTCTCGATTTTAATCTAAAATAACCTAATTTGTCTTTAGATGAATGAAGGTCTCAGGGGATTGGAATGACATGACGGTGGGTGAGTAATTAATAATAGAATTGTCATTTTTGGGTGAGCTCATCCTTTAATATCGAGTAGGTCTTACCTTCTGAAAGGCACACTGGTTTAAGGCTTGGTTTCCAGCCTAACGATCCATTATAGAAGCGCGTGCAGATAATCTTGGCTGGCCCCTTTAAACTAAAACCATCTGCACAAGAGAACCTGGCCACTGAGTTTTCAAAAAACTTCCCGATGCTTGGAGTTCTGATGCCATGCTCTGGAAAACCAGGATCCTTGCAGATCTGCTCCTCTGAAAAGTGCAAAAGGACCAACCAAAATTATACATTTCAAGCAAAGACAATGTATTATGACTTGTGCCAATATCAGAGTTGAATCAGCATTAAACTTTAGTATATTGTTATATATTCATATATGCGTCAAAGACAAGGTGTAACGTTTTGGTGTCTGCCATCAAATGAAGTGTACAAATGTGATTGTATATATAGAAAAATTATTAGTATAATAATATAATTAAATATTAAAGTAAAACTAAAAGTATTTATGTTAGGGCTGCACAATATATCTATTGAGCATCGAATCTGTTATAATAACCAGCGATCTAGCGGCTGCAGGTAACCATGCAGTTTGCTAAAAAACTACAAATCCGCTGGTATATGGACTACAAGTTCCATCAGGCACCTAGCACACAACTGTTCCTGCTTCATTTTGATTACAGGCATATACACACAGCCGGAGGATCATTACAAACTGTAAACAGGAACTTTAAAAACAACACACACACACACACACATCTTTGCTGATTCTTGTTTAGCAGTATTGTGAACATTACGACACGTTTTCCTTGTCGTGTTAGACCCTTGCCTTGTTTTATTTTTTAATCCTGTCTGCTGCCTGCCATCCGCCTGTTTACTGACCATGGCTCTGGATTTTCTGTATACATCTTTTTACCCGTGTTGATTGTTGCTTGCCTGAACATTCTTGTTAAAAAAAAAAAACTGCATTTGGATCCGCAACTCTGTTGTCAGCGTCACTTCACATGACAGATATCAATGTGTGTGTTTGCAATAGTCACATTGCAAGATATGCAACGTTGAGTTGGGATTATAGATGACCAGAAACCACAGGTTAAGACACATGAGATTTGTGGAGACGCTGCAGTATTTAAGCAAAATAGAGTGAAAGTTATTTATCTACATGTGTTTTTTTAAGGCCTGTGACTATATGAGCATTTTAAGAGAGCATAAAGTAGTTTAATAAAAGATTCATTTTATTAAACAATTTATATGATGAAGACAAATATTCAATTTCTGTAACTAAACACTGTTCGACTATCCGCAAAAAAACGCAAATCACTGTTTGTTTAACTTTAATATTTGCTTCATTGTGTTTATTTATGACTTTATTTTATTTATTATATTTTATGTTCATAAAAAGTCACTTAAAATACTTTTATATTTCACTCCCCTATAAAATCATCCCAGTCAATCTTAGGTCTTTGCAAAAATTTGTCATTTAAATCATCTGGTGAAATGATATCTCAGTATATTAAATTAAATGTATATACAGTTTATATGTATATATCTAAAGATTTTTTAGATACATTTCCTAAACTATGTTTAACAGAGCAAGAAAACATTTTCACAGTATGTCTGGTAATATATATATATATTTTTTTTTTCTGGAGATTATTTGTTTTATTTCAGCTAGAATAAAAAAAGTTTACAATGTTTTAAATCCATTTTAAGGTCAAAATTATAAGCCACTTTAAGCTATTTTTTTCAATAGTCTACAGAACAAACCACTGTTAACCTAATTAATGTAGCTATGCTGTTAAATATCACTTTAAGCTGTGTAGAAGTGTCTTGACAAATACCTAGTAAAATATTATTTACTGTCATCATGGCAAAAACAAAATTAATCAGATATTAGAACTGAGTTATTAAAACTATTATGTTTATGTGTTGAATGTGTTGAAAAAAAAAATCTCTCCGTTAAACAGAAATTGGGGAACAAAATAAACAGGGGGGCTAATAATTCTGACTTCAACTGTATATCACAAATAAGGTGATATCGCAGAGGAAAATATCACAATGTCAAACTTTCCAATATCGTGCAGCGCTGATTTATATAATAATTTATATTGATAAAACACTAAAACTATTATAAAACACTCATCTACAAATTATTTGTAAAGTTTATGTAGAAAACAAACTGGAAATATTGTTATAGAACTTTAAACATTTTAGCTATACTTATTTGGCACTTTCAAGCTTTAAAACATTTTATGTTTAGTGTAAAAAACTAATTTAAAAAAAAACAGAAGGGTCTTTAAGATCTGTTTAGTGTAGTAAAATCCATAAAATGGGTTACAAAGTTCTGTATAAATATGTATTCTTTTTTTTTTTTTTTTTACCCTGCATTGCATTGTGTTTTGGGGATTAATGTACAGTAAACCTCTATATTCAACAAAAAATTATCAGTACTTTTTTTAGACAGTGTGGTGATTGTTTATTCAATTTATACCAGTTTAGTCAATTGTCATGCGTTAAATGTGTAAATGTATAATTATGTTAGCCTACTAGTTTTACAATCTTTTATATAGTATACAGGGGGTTGTCACGTTTTTATTTTAAGGTATCCTTGTTACAGTGTTAGGGTTATTTGCATGTATGTATGCATAATCAATTGCAATTAATACAGTAACATTTGTAAAAAGGACACCTTAGAGTAAAGTGTTGCTCAGGAGGAGCTTGGGAGCTTATGATAGTGATGACACGCGCACTAATTTATGCAGGGTGAAACTACAACTCATTTCTGTTATGACACTCTCCAACATCACTCTATTAACACATCCTTTTACTTCTACACTTTTCTGCTGAGATTTTTATTCCACTCGGCGTTACATAAATGTCACCTTCATAAAATGTTATTACAGTATCACCAGTTTAGGGCCGGTATGATGCTGTCGGGAGTTTTACGAGAATGTTTGTTTCTTGTTTTGAATATCTGCTTTGTCATGACCAAAGGTTATTCAATATGCAGAATAAACAGAAAAAGCAGCTTCGTCATGGCATTTAATGACCACTATTATAAGGCAAAACTAACAGATTATTACCATCTAAATGGGAATGATAAGCAAAGGGTCGTTCGCTAATTTAAGTATAAGCATCCATATCATGTTCAAAAATATCCTCATCATCATGTTCATAAATGATCTCTCTTATATCTCCAACGCAGATTTCTTACCTACTGTGTTAACCGGGAAGGCGGTGACCAGTAAAGGAGGGCGGAGGAGGATGATGGAGAGAATAATCTGCCCGCAGACAGGATGTCCAAACGCAGATTTCTTGCCTCCTTTATCAGCATGATGAAACATCTTTCACTGAATAAAATTCATCGGGTCACAATGCTCTGAAATGACGATGACAACGACAAAACAAGCTAGGTGAAGCGTGAAAATATGAAATCTATTGGGATTGCATCACGGATTTTCAGCCCTGCGGAATCTCCTCGCCGACGCGCAGTACATGATGACCAGTAAATCCCCATATCAATTGGTAAATACCAGAATAGTCTTTTCGGGTACGCGCGCATCGCATATCCGCCACGCATTATTATGCATTATTCAATTGTCTTCGGCAGATCAGGAGGAGGCTCGTGAAACATAACGATGCCGTGTTAATATACGATGATCAGGATGGTGATGTAAAATGCGTCATATGCGTCACTGCTCTACCTTACTCAGTTGAAATCTAGTCTAATGACGCGGTACTGCCGATTTAAAAATAGTTGTTCTTCGCACATTATTATTAATTTATTATTGTCACCTACCACTGATGCCGTACATGGAAATTCAGTTGCACCGGACTTTCTCCTTCAGTGGGCTGTCGAGGTGGTCAATTATTTAATAACTACTAGTTTAATAACACTTCTTCAGCTGTTGTCCGCGCTTCACTAGGTTATCGAAAGCAAAATAAGCCCGCCTGTTGTGGTGTAAGTAGGTTATCTCGTGATGAGTAGATGAATTATAATACAGGTCAAAGTACCTGTGTGGAGTATTATGAGTAACAGAAACAACTGGCAAAGGTGTAGCTGCCAAAAGGAAGCACAGAAAAAAAAACACCGGGAACAGGCTTCATTTAAGTGAGCTATTAATATTTGTTCAAATAAGAGAGCAGTTGTCTACTTTTGTGCACTTTTCAGACGTAAATAAGACTCAAATGAAAATTCTATCATTTGCTCAGCCCCTTGTTTGTTTTTTTTTTTTTTTTTTTTTCAGTTGAACACAAAGAAGATATTTTGAAGAATGATGGAGAGCATTGGTGTTTGGCTTTTTTTGTTTCTGTGTGGAATTTGCATGTTCTTCCTGTATTTGTGAAGCACAAAGACATGCAGTATATGTGAATTGAATAAGCTAAATTGGCCGTTGTGAATGTGTGTGAATGAGTGGGTATGGATGTTTCCCATTACTGGGCTGCGGTTGGAAGGGCATCCTCTGCATAAAACATGTATAAGTTGGCGGTTTATTCGCTGTGGCGACCCCTGATAAATAAAGGGACTAAGCTGTAAAGAATATGAATGGATGTGGATGGTTGTCAGTTTCCAACATTTTTCAAAATGCCTTCTGTTGTGTTCAACAAAGAACCACACTAGGGTAGTTTTTAACTTTTTGGGAACTTTCTTTTTAATTGACTTAATAACAGAAATGATTTCTTATATATATATATATATATATATATATATATATATATATATATATATATATATATATATATATATAATTTTTTTTATTATTTATTTATTTTTTATTTTTATTTTATTTATTTATTTTTTTGATAAAGATATGTTGGATGTAAAATATAAAGTAGTAAGCATTATTTGATTTGTTGTGTTTACTCTTTTTATTTTATGGCGGCACGGTAGCTCAGAAATTAGCACTGTTGCTTCGTAGCAAGAAGGCCGCTGGTTTGAGTCCCGGCTGGACCAGTTGACATTTCTGTGTGGAGTTTGCTTGTTCTCCTAGTATTCAAGTGGGTTTCCTCCAGGCGCTCCAGTTTTCCCCACAGTTCAAAGACATGCGCTATAAATGGATTAACTAAGTTGTCCGTAGTGCATAAGTGTGAATGAGTGTATGGATGTTTCCCAGTACTGTGTTGCAGCTGGAAGGGCTTCTGCTGTGTAAAAGATATGCTGGAATAGTTGGTGGGTTATTCTACTGTGGAGACCACTGAAATAGAGACTAAGCTGAAGGAAAATAAATGATTGTTTACTCTTTTGATTAAATCTATTCATTAAAAATTTCTGATTTTACAGTCAAACTGTACTGTAAGTACAATAAAGGTAGTGTAAGATTCAATTATATTTCCAAATCCTTGTCTAGTACACTGGTCGATTTGTAGGAACATTTAAAGTGATAGTTTATCCCCAAAAATGAAAATTGTCATTTAATCACACTTCACTTCTTCCAAACTGAATGATTATTGAACAGTTTTGAAAAAAAAAAAGAAAAGTTGACTAAATAGTTAAGATTAGCAACTGACTTACATTGTGTTTTCCTCCCTAATTATGGAAGAGAGTGGGAACGTCATCTGTCTAGTTACTGACAAAATTCTAAAGATCTTTTATGTAAAAAAAAATGGATAAAAACTTGTAGTTTGGAAATATAGTTGAAGTCACAATTATGTGAATTTTCTATAATATTCTACAATATGTTTTCTTCTGGAGAAAGAAATTTTTTATTTTGGCTAGAATAAAATCAGTTTTTGATTAAAAAAAAATAATAATTTTAGGGTCAAAATTATAAGCCTTTTTAAGCAATACATTTTGTCCAGAACAAACCATCCTTATACAATAACTTGCCTAATTACCCTAACCTGCCTAGTTAACCTAATTAACCTAGTTTAGCCTTTAAATGTCACTTTAAACTGAAAACTAGTATCTTGAAAAATATCTAGTAAAATGTTATGTAGAAATGACTGATTAAAACTATTAGGCTATGTTTAGAAATGTCTTGAAGAAATCTTCTCTCCCTTAAACAGAAATTGGGGTAAAATATTCATTCATTCATTTTCTTCTTGGCTTGGTCCCTTTATTAATATGGGGTCGCCACAGCGGAATGAACCGCCAACTTATCCAGCATATGTTTTTCACACAGCGGATGCTCTTCCAGCCGCAACTCATCTCTGGGAAACATCCAAACACACTCATTCACACTCCTACACTATGGACAATTTAGCCTATCCTATTCACCTGTACCACGTCAAACAGAGCACCCGGAGGAAACCCACGCGAACGCAGGGAGAACATGCAAAGTCCAGGGGGAAAATATACATGATGCTAATAATTCAGGAGGGCTAATCATTCTGAACTATATACAATAATTATATGAATAAATATAATAATTATTCAACTTTATATACAAAAACACTACAGTGGTAAGTCTAAACAATTGTTTTGACAAATTTTAACCTTAAATGTGCTTATCAGAGATTCTCAAAACATTCCTTTAACAAGGTTTACCCCATTCATTACAAAATACAGTCATACCAGGTGATCTTTAGCATGTCAAAGATGCATTTATCTTATGCATTTAAAGGATAAATTTATTGTATAAGATACAAGTGTTCAGTTAAAATTTAGGTTAACTGATAATATACAAAAACATAGAGATATCACTGAAAATACATATAATAAATGAACTTTGAGAAAATTACTTCTTATGAAAGTGTTCACCATATAAACTCTCTATGATGTAAAAGTTTTTCACGTGTCTAGTTGTAAACATCTTACAAAATAAACAACTTTAAATCATAAGAACAGCATATTGTGATGATCAATGATAAATGTGAAGATCTAACCTAGAAAAAAAGACATTTCCCAACTTTTTGCAAACAAAATCCTAAAGAAGCAGCGTCACTTGAAATGTGCAGACCTTTGTATTAATATGAATTCTCTTAATCTAATTTTGAAATGATGTACAGTAGTTTAACAAGTAAATATTCATTCAGACAAAGTCAAATCCTTCACAGAATGTACAATAACAAACTACAGTACTTCATGCCAGTACTCACAGAGAAACTACCATGTCTATAAGCTCTTTTTTCATGTCAACACTCGTCATATGGTGGTGGGTTGCTGTCCTGTGTTGCTTTACGGCTGCGTAAATACTGCACCAGTATCAATACAGCAGAAACAGCCACTACTAGAAATATTATCAGCCCAATATATTTTCCAGGAGTCGATAGGGCTCCCTTTGCTATAAAATTAGGCGATGGGGTTGTGAACGGGCCTACTGGACTATTAAATGGAATAGGATCGAGAGTGCATTTAGTTTTGTTAACGAGTACGTAAGGGTCAAAGCAAGCACATTTATAACTTCCTATGGTATTTTCGCACATCTGTGCGCAGTCATGATTTGATTCACATTCATCAATATCTTCGCACTTACTGTCGCTTTTAACAAAACCAACTGGGCACCAACAGGCCGATCCGCTTCTCACACACAACGCGTCACACACTTTTGTTGCGCAATATAAATCGCAGCGTCGTGGATCTCGTGCGTTGGGACGAAATCCTTCCTTGCACGAACACCTGTATGCGTTTTTTTTCAAAGCAGTGCATTGCTGTTCACAGGGCGCAAACATGCACTTCGCGTTATCCACGATGACCACGTTTTCTCTGCAAAAATCCCCTTGAGAGTCTCCACAATAATAGCCATCCATTATTTCGGCGCACGATCTCACTGTTTGCTGTCGGTCGTTGGACACAGACACGCAGAGGGGAACGCACGATAATCCGGTCTCCGAGTTGGTGAACTCCATGGCTGAATTAATCGTTCCATTAAAACACTTGCTCTGAGTAGGGTGTAATCCTACCCAAAAGTGTCCGATCGTGTTATCAACCAAATAGTCCATAACTTCCTCCGATGAGTTCGCCAGGGTAGAGAGTCGGCCGCCTCGCTGTTTGCATTTCTCTTGAGCCGTTTGGAAGTCCACCGGCATTTGGAAGATGTTAGCACAGTGTTTCAGATTCTTTGAGCAAGCACAGTCCTGTTCCAAACCAGCACAAGACGAAATTAACACGACAAACAAAATCGTTTGTTTACAAGGATCCATCCTAATTTGACTTTTTTTGTACACTTTTTTTGCTAATTTGTACACAAGCTGCACACAGATTTGGAGGTCTAAGTCTGAATGCCCATTTTGAAAACCCATTCCAGAGATAGAGGTAAACATAGGAAGGAAACCCCGCCTGAGTGACTGGAGAAATATTCCGTATTAACAAGTCACAGGCTTTTTCTTAATGGGGTGGTGGTAGGATACAGCACATGGTCCTATGAAGTTAAAGAAAATGACTCATTAATATGATTGGCCCTGGGAGAGAACATTCATTCATTCATTCATTCAATTATTCATTCAGAAGCCATAACAAATTTGAACCAGTTGAGTGTAAACAAAACAGGGAATAAACAAAAGAGGGACTACAGGGAATTGATTACTTTGACATGAATAGCCCAGTTTTAGATAATTAATACCATTTACTTAATTAAAGAAATGTTTTAAACAATAGAAGCATTTAGATGAAGCTTTATTTGGGCCACAAAAATGTACAGAGATAAAAAACAATGGCAGTTGAATAGGAGTTGAATTTTGTGCTTTTACTCAAATTAATGTCTCAGGATAGATTAATTTCTGACAGCTATAGCATATGTACATACATTTCTTGGATAAAAGACAGTGTGAATAAAATCTATCATTATTTGTTGAAAGAAATACAAAGTTCAGTCAAACATTGTCCAAATAAAACTCTTAATATCCTGTGAAATTATAGGCTATCACAATTAAGAAACAAAGAACAGTAATTACAGGAATCGCATTTAATAATTCAAATGGTAAAAAGTGTACTTCTGTTGTATTGGGGTTTTGTTATGTGTAATTATTTATTCTACATGGATGATAAATGATCATTCTAGAATTTTAATTTTGATGAACAGAATGCACAAAATGATTCTGAAGTCTGAACTGTGTAAAACAGGCAAATGTGAAACACTGAATCAAACTTTGTGCATACAGGTGTGAATGAACCACACTAAAAAACAATTATACTTTGAACCACCTTTAAAAAATGAATTTGCTACAGCTAAAATGTATTTGTAGTTTATTATGTTGAAGCTTAATGGTTGAAGTATAATGTAACTTTGATTTAACCTTAAAATTTTATTTAAATCAAATATATTTATTGTTTTAAAGAAAAAAAATACACTCACACAAAGTAAAAATATTGTTTACTATGCAGAGTGTATTTAGCGTAGATCCCTCCTACATCAAGGTTTATCTTGGATTTACTCTTTTTTTATCTATACAAAAAAGTATAGATTTGCTTTGGACCACCATAAAAAAAACTGTAATTTGTTACACCTAAATTAATAATTTTCCCTAATTATCGCTTTGACGTATTTTAATAAAATAAAATGTATTTTAATTTTAATCTAAATATTTATTTGACCCAAAGAGAAAAAATACATAGACTAAAATATTGTTTTATAGTTTTATAGACCATGCATTAATTCAATTACTTTGGTTAAACTTAAAACCTAAATTTATATATATATATATGTCACTTGACATGAAACCAGCTGGTTTAAAGAGAAAACACTACTTTTGAGAAAACCCAATGCTTTAAATTTTTCCTAGGGGCATGATTTTTTTGCTTTAAGGCAAATTACATAAAACAGATTAAGACCAGAACCATTTTTTTTCACTTATACTGCTGAAAAAAAAAAAACAACAACGTGTAAATCAGCCTAGGCCTGTTGATTAATTTAACCTGGTCAACCAGCCTGGTCTTTGAAGGGTTTTGGCTATTTTTATTCTGGTTTTAGCCATTTCCTTCAAGGTTTTAGCTAGTCAGGCTGGGAGATGGCCAGCTAAAACCAGCCTATGCAGGGAGCCCAGCCAAAACCAGTGAAAACTTAAACAAATGACTTTGACTTGTTACAATTTAATGAATTGATTTGACAAACTTAATTTATGACAGTTTTCAGTAAAAAAATATTTAGTTCTTTTAGGTGTAACAAGTTTTAATAATTTACTGTATGTAATACAATATTAATAATACTTTTATTACAATATAAATAATTTCCTTCCCATGATAATATAAAACTTTTATGGCAAGTACAAGTGAACAATACTTGTAATTGCCATTTGTTACACCTAAAATAATTAACTTAACTCATCACTGAAAACTGTCATAAATTATGTTTGTCAAGCTTAATTCATTTAATTTTAACAAATCATGGTAATTAAGTTTTGAATTAGTTTTCAAAACCAGGCTGGAAATGGCCAAAACCCCTCTAAAACTAGGCTGGTGGTCAACCAGCTAAAACCCCCAGCAGCTTATGCTAGTTTAACCTGTTTTTTTCAGCACGTTAATCCAATTTACAAATGTACTTTGAATGAAAGACAACTTTTTTTCAGTGCACTGAATCAAACTTTGTGCATACGATACAATATCTATGCTCGCATTTGGCCGTTGTTTAGTCTGTAATTACTCCTGTTGCTCTTTTTCTGCTCGCTGTCCAACCCAGATGAAACCCAGCAGTAGTTGTCAGCTGTGGCATTTTTCAAAGTGTTTCTTCTTGAACGTTTCCATCGGTAGATGACAAAAGCGGATGCGATCACAATGAGCACAATCAATGGAACAGCAGAACCCAAGACGCAAACCAAAATCCAAGAACTTCCGAGAAACGTTCTTGATTTAATAGAATCTGTTTTAGTGTTTGTCTTGTTAAGTGAAGCTGGGTTTACTGTTGTCACTCCAAATCCGTCAGGTAACTGAGTCAAGCTGGTTATGATTGATTCTTTAAGAGCTGGAGTGATTTGTGCTCTCTCTGTGGGGTTCGGGACGCAGCTGATGCCATTATTAGCCAAAGTGAAGTGTTCCCTGCAGGAACACTCGAAACTACCAAACGTGTTGGTGCAAATGTCTTCACATGGTTTACCAAGAATACATTCATTGACATCAATACAAATCCCTCTATCGTCAGCTAATAAAATGTAACCTGCGTGGCAATAGCAAGAGAATGAGCCCTCTGAATTCAGACAGCCCTGCTCACATTTGAGTTCAGTGCACTCGTCCACGTCTTCACATTTGCCAGCAACGAGCTTGAAACCAGGATGACAGTCACAACGATAACTTCCAGGCGTGTTTTGACACCAGTGGTCACCGCAGATTTCTTCACTACATTCATTGATATCGACGCAGCTGATGTTGTCTCCAGACAAACGAAAGCCCTCCGCGCATGCGCAGGAGTATCCAGTGGCTGTCGGTAGACACTTGAACTCACAAGGTAAATTTTCGCAGTTGTCTTTGGCAGCACAGCTAACTTTATCATCCATCAGGTGATAACCTTCGCGACATTCACAACGAACACCCCCTCCTGCGGTCACCGAGCAAAGCTGCTCACAGCCTCCGTTTTTAAGTTCGCAACTTCTTTTTTCCGGTGCGCAAAAGCGCTCAGAATTTGTCCAGTCAAACGGACCATCTTGGTTGCTGCAAAATGAGATAATAGGCATCTCCGACCCAACGCATTGTACTTCAGCCCATGTCCCGTGCGGTATCATCACCAGCCGTTCATCAAGAGTGAGCGGTTCTGATAAAAACGGAAGGTTGTATTTAATTTCACTCTGTTCTTCCAGCACTATAGGTCTGCACATGCCTTTGGAAAGAAATTTGCACATGTAAAACGCGCGGTCTCGACACGAGCCGTCTGTCCATCTGAGATCATCCGCCAGAGAAATGGACACGCATCTTTTTTCCGTACACGTCCTCAAAGGCTTCTTCTTCCAGTAGGAATATTGCGAATCCTCTGGCTCTGAAGTCCACCTGAAGCCGTGCAGCTCCTCCGTGGAGTCAGTGCAGCGCCTTTTCTGCAAGGAAAGTCCGATCCAAAGTTTAGAGCTGAAGACGCGCTCTTTCTCGCCTTCTGCCGCCGCTGCCAAAACCGCAGATTTAACGCTCTGGAGTTCATCGTCATTTCTCATGGTGACCAACTTGCCTCCATTGTCAATACAGTTTTTGGAAGCCTTTTCAAAATGTTCCTTTTCCAAATGCAATGTAAGGCAAGCCTCGGCTGTGCAGGTAGTGCTCACTCGACTGGTCCCGCCGACGATTAAAAAAGAGGAGAACATCACAATCAGCACCCGCATCATCCCGTCACTCTCATACTACTCGCTTTAGGAAGAAAATATCCAGTTTATCTCAGAGAATGGAGAAAGATTCGTCCGTAGGCATTCCAGGCACCAAAACAACACACACACTGATGCATCCTGTTTAGCGAATAACCTTGAACGGAAATCATTGTGAGCAGCGGACTTCGTTTGTCTCTTCTAAGGGGCAAGTTCCTGCCGCCAAACAAAAAACAACTGCACTCGCTTCTTATTGTTTTGACTATCCCAGATGTATCAACCCATGTCAGCTTAATGGCAGTATAGTCCAGTTTTAGATTTAGACCGATTTAGATTTTGTAAGAGCTTTTTAAAGACTAGATTAATTAGAGTGGCTATCAGCTACACTTGTTCAGTAAGATATAAATATTAAAACATCGTTTTCTGATGTAGAATAAATTGCCACAATTAAGCTATTACACAAACAATTATTTTTGTAAACAAATCTTACAAGAGAATGACATGTATTTTCATAAAGTATGATTACAGAAAAAGTGAACCGTTGTGAAATAGGATCTTATCAATTCATTCTCCACACATTTACAAATATTTTGATTGGTCATTTCACAAATCTGGTGACTTGGTGGCTCACTCAGTGGTTAGATCTATCGCCTCACAGCAAGAAAGTTGCTGGTTTGAGTCCCTTCTGAGCAGTTGACATTTTTGTATGAAGTTTGTATGTTCCCCCCATTTTGGTGTGGGCTTCCTCTGGGTGCCCTGGTTTCCCCCACAGTCCAAAGACATAGGTGAATTGAACTAAATTGGTCATAGTGTATGTGTGTGAATATAAGTGTGTGTGTGGATGTTTCCGCGTACTGGGTTGCAACTGGAAGGGCATCCACTGTATAAAACATGTTAAATTGACAGTTCATTCCACTGTGGCAGCCCCTGATGAATTAAGGGACCCAGCCGAAGGCAAATGGATAAATAATATAATATTAATAATAATAATAATAATAATATTTCACTAATCTGATATGACACATTTAAAAAAAAATTATATATATATATATATATATATATATATATATATATATATATATATATATATATATATATATATATATATATATATATATATTTCTACCATTATTGTCCTTGTAAATGGCTCTCTATTTAGCAGTAAAAAATATGAAACAAAACAAACTTTTTTTTTTTTACCCAATGGTTGGGTTTGTCCATGTTTTACTCAAATATGGGTTGAAACAACAAAGCATTCGTCACATACAAAACACAACACAATACAACAGCTAGAAAAAGAAGGGAAACATTTATTCATTCATTTTCTTTTTGACTTAGTCCCTTCATTAATCTGAGGTCGCTACAGTGGAATGAACCACCAACTTATTGAGCATATGTTTTACACAGTGGGTGTCCCTCCAGCTGCAACCCATCACTTGGAAACATCCATACACTCTCATTCACATACTGTACATACACTGCGGCCAATTTAGCTTACCCAATTCAGGTTTACCGCATGTCTTTGGTCTCGTGGGGGAAACCGGAGGATATACGTGAATGTTTGATATGAAGCATTACTTAAACTGACACATAATGTAAAAGTAACCCCAAATACAGACTATAAAACATTTCAGTTTGGTTAAACTTAAACTCAAGATCACCAGCTGCCTTGAAAATGTGAGTCAGCTCAACTTTGAGAAATTCTTTGTTTCAAATTAAGATGATGAGTTTTAGTTAAATACATTGTGAATGTTAAGTTGACTCACATTTTCACTGAGAACTTGAGTTTGCAAGTTTAACCAAGTGTAATATTTTACCACAAAAGGCTAGTCTATATTCTTGTCTATATTTTACACAGAAACAAATGCACAGCTTGTCTTTCTATTGTGTCTATTGTCTGCTTGTTGCTGATAAATCAGGCCAAGGATCATATCCTGTGTTTGTGTTGAGCAGGGCAGCTCCTGTATTTGAATGGGGGGAAATGACCTAAGACACCCTTCCGGTGGGCCCTTTAGACCCTTGTATGATAGAAGTGACTTTTTTTTAGTCATCAGGAACAGGGCTCTTTTCCCCTATGTTATGTAGAGGGCTGTAACTTAAGCGGAAAACATTAAGTTTCTTTTAAACTGTGACATGGAAGATGATAAATTATGGAACTTAATAAAATGAAGTACACCTAATTGAAATGCATTTATAAAACACAGTAACACTTTACAACAACAGTACATGAATAATGATGTATTAATATGTAAACTAAACATTACTTTATTATGAATTAATGATGAGTTAAGGTATGCACTAATCATGAATTAACTTTAATTACAACATGAGTCACGTGAGTTCATATTTAAATAACGACTACCTTAATTACTTGTTAGTACATGTTGTTAACTAATGTAATAATTAACATTTAAGTTTACGCTAAATGTAACCAACATGAACTCATGAGCTGTAAATGTATAATTACGTCATGACTTTACTTGGAGGGGCACATCACTATTAACTCATTCTTAACTACTCATGAACTTCACGCTGATGTTGACAGAACACGTTTCTATTGTTATTCAGTGTAAACTCACTAGTTGGACGTGCATAAGGAGTTCATGAGTATGGGTTAATGATGATGTGCCACTCCAAGTAAAGTCACAACATAATTATACATTAACATATCATGAGTTCATCATGGTTAAATTAAGCATAAACTAATATAGTAATTAATACATTAATTAACAAACAATCATATACTAACAAGTAATTAAGGTAGCTGTTATTCACACATGAACTCATGTGAATCATGTTATAGTTACATTTAATTCATGATTAGTGCATACCTTAACTCATTATTAGTTCATAATAAACTAATGTTTAGTTTACATATTATTACATCATCAAAGTGTTACCTAAAACCTTAAAACAGAGATGCCCAAACTAGGGTCCGTGGGCCAAATGTGGCTCATGATAACCTTTAATTCGGCCCACCATGCCATTTAAGAAAAGAAGGAGAATGATGGGGATGGTTAAGAGATTGTCATTTCTAACTTAATGTAATACTTTGTTTTTATTGTAGGGCATCACAGTGGCGCAGTGGGTAGCACAATCAGTTAGAAGGTCACTGGTTCAAGCCTCGGCTGGGTCAGTTGCCATTTCTGTGTTTAGTTTTCATGTTTTCCTGATGATTGTGTAGATATTTTCTGGGTGCTCCGGTTTCCTCCACAGTCCAAAGACGTGGTATAGATGAATTGGGTAAGGTAAATTGTCCGCAGTGTGTATGGATGTTTCCCAGTAATGGGTTGCAGCTGGAAGGGCATCCTCTGCGTAAAACATATGCTGGATAAACTTGCGGTTCATTATGCTGTGGCAATTTCAAATTATTAAAGGGACTAAGCTGAAAAGAAAGCTGTTCAATAAAATAGGTCAGGGGAGGTTTTTGTTTAAGGTTTAACATATTAGCAATTTATTGGATACGGATGAATAATTCCATTCACAGAATTCTGGTATTCTCAATACAAAGTTGCATTCAGGAGATGCACACCTTTTTATTTCCTGACTTCAACTTATATAGGCGGCTGATATTAACAGGTGGAGTTCAGTAAAATTTGTCACTTGTCCATCATTCTCCAGTCCTCCATTGGCCGCACCCATACATACTTCCTCTTTTTCTACCAATTCTCTACACAACATTAAAAAACACAAGACTTGCAAATTCTGTGCTCAAAGGAAGTTTTGCTGCAAGTAGTATTTATCTAAAATGCTTCATTAGAATGCAAAACATATCAGACTCAAAAAAAAGTTCTGTTAATACACCACCTCCAAGCAACACAAATACAACTGTTTTTTAAAAGAAAGAGACTTCCTAACTCTAAAAATAACTAACTGAAATGAAATGTTTCAATTAAATGTTTGAAACAAATAAGATTTTTGCTTAAATGTGTGTACAATTATCTGACGCATAGAAGACAATGCAGAAAGATCAGTGAGCAAATGAAGGCAAAGGCAGATTCTGCTTGACGAGCGTATTCAGCATTGAACTCCACTATTGTAAATGTGATTGTTCATGTTTTTATTTCATTCATTCATTCAATCATTTTGTTGTCGGCTTAGTCTTTTTATTAATCCAGGGTCGCCACAGAGGAATGAACCGCCAACTTATCCAGCACATTTTTACACAGTGATTGCCCTTCCAGCTGCAACCCATCTCTGGAAAACTTCCACACCCACACCCACACACTCATACACTACGGACAATTTAGCCTACACACACACACACACACACTCTCATACACTACAACTAGCCAACCCAATTTATCTGTACCGCATGTCTCTGGACTTTGGGGGAAGCACCTGGAGGAAACCAATGCGAACGCAGGGAGAACATGCAGACTCCACACAGAACGCAGGGGGAACATGCAAACTCCACACAGAAACGTCAACTAAGCCGAGGTTCGAATCAGCGACCTATCGACCTTCTTGCTGTGAGGCGACAGCACTACCTACTGCTCCCTGTTTTTATTTCAGTAAGTTATAATTAAAACGATTATACTGCATTAGTTAATACCAATTAAAGTCATGTTTTCTATTTATTTTTCAAGATTGTGAAAAAAATTGGAAATTACCCATGGTGACTTTAATGTAATATAGATTGGTATGATTAACTTCTGCCCACAGCTCTCATTGATTTTTGGTTTTTGGCGCTTAATACGAAAGGGTTTGGGCACCCTTGCTTTAAAACTTTTAAAACAGAATTAATTAAAAAAATAATAATAATGAAATTAAATCAAAATATTAATTCATTTTCTTGTCAGCTTAGTCCCTTTATTAATCCAGGGTCGCCACACGAAAATGAACCGCCAACTTATCCAGCAAGCTTTTACCAGCGGATGCCTTTCCAGCCGCAACCCATCTCTGGGAAACTTCCACACCCACATTCACACACACTCATACACTACGGACAATTTAGCCTACCCAATTCACCTGTACTGCATTTCTTTGGATTGTGGGGGAAACCGGGGCACCCGGGGGAAACCCACGCAAACGCAGGGAGAACATGCACACTCCACACAGAAGCACCAACTGAGCCGAGGATCGAACCAGCGACCCAGTGACCTTCTTGCTGTGAGGCGACAGCACTACCTACTGCACCACTGCGTCGCCTCTAAATCAAATTAAGTTAATAAAATTAATCTCAATAAATAATGTCAGTATTTGTCCAAATATTACCCGAATGTCTGTCTTTTACAACAAAATAAGATAGGTGGACAAAAAAAAAGACGCTGTCCCATGAGCGCTAATTGTAGTTTTGTAAACAGACAGTTTCCTTCCTGTTTTTGGAGTTCATACTTATCTGTTATCTCTGTTTGTTCTTTTGATTTTTTCCCCTCTTCATGTAGTTTTGCATCTGGCTGCTGCATTGTAAAAAACAAAATAAAGTTGACTCAACTTAAAATTTTAAGGCAACAAACTTCA